TCCCCATTAAACTTTAACATTCATGTCTCTCAACTCTTCTTCCAAAATCTAATTAAATTACTATTTATTATGAAATAGGTTTTATATGTTCATTGTCTGAATATTTTGGAGGACAAAGTATACTATCCAGGTATTTGGACACCTGCTGAATAACACCCAGCTTATGCATAAGATTTGTCTCCACAGAAGCAATTAAAGCAGAGGAATTCTTTGGCATTGATTCCTCCAGAATTTAGAGAAGCTACTTATACAAGGTCTGCCATTTTGTTAGATGGACTTTTTTAAGGCATGTGTATGCAGCCAGCAAAGCTGGAGCCCAGATGAGCTGAGAAAAAGAAGCTATAGCATACATTTCATTCCTCCTCCAAGAACTCAAGACTGTCAGGTCAATACTTTAAGACAGAACTTAGGGGGCACCTGGGTGGCTCAGTCGGTTAAGCGACTGCCTTCGGCTCAGGTCATGATCCTGGGGTCCTGGGATCGAGCCCCGCATCAGGCTCCCTGCTCAGCCGGAAGCCTGCTTCTCCCTCTCCCACTTCCCCTACTTGTGTTCCCCCTCACGCTGTCTTTCTCTCTCTCTGTCAATTAAATAAATAAATAAAATATTTTTTAAAAATCAGTTTACAAACTGTGATGCACTATATGAACAAGTTTTCATTTGGGGGTAATTAATTTAATAACATAACTGAGAATCTGACTTTTAACAAAGGAATAGTTCTTAGAAATTTAGAGATTTGAGGAGTGTTTGGGTGGCTCAAGCATACAACTCTTGGTTTTGGCTCAGGTCATGATCTCAAGGTCATGGGATCGAGCCCTGCATCAGGCTCCCTGCTCAGCGGGGAGTCTGCTTCTCCCTCTGAGCCTCCCCCTATCATGCTCTCTATCTCATTCTCTCTCTTAAATAAATAAATAAAATCTTTAAAAAAAAAAAAAGAAAGAATGCAAGAAATCTTTAGTTACTGGATCCCCAAAAGGTAGGGACATTATCAAGTATTTCGAGCTATACCATTAGCAACGTAAAGTAGTAAATATGCTATTATTGATACTGATACAATTAGATTTGCCACAAAAAAGGTGGGGGAGTTGTCTACTTTTAACCCAAAATTTCTTCTCTGGTCCTATCGACTTTGTGGCCATTCCCTTCAATGCTCTCAGGCCCTTTCTTGACTAACAGATACAAAGAACTATCAACCACTCTTGGAGAATTTGATGGGGAAAAAAGCTACACACTAGAAGGAGGATACTTTGGAATATTTCTGAAATTAGGTAGAAGTTGGAGAAAGACTTTTTTGAGCAATGATCTTCCCTAGAGCCCCTGAAGTCAGAGTATTCCTACATGTCAGCCAATTTTGTGTCCTGTCACATAAAATGCCTTCCAGCAGGCATGATGCCAACCAGGCATCATTTTATGGATCACCAGCAACTTTTAACATGAACCAATTTCTTATAAGTAAGCTCAGGTCCTGCCAGCTTTTCTTAGGGTTCAAAACTGAACACCTAAGTCTGAAATGATTTTAGAAACTGCCTAAGGCTGTAAGAGTGAGCCTGAGAAATGTGTACCCAGCCCAGGCTTCCTTCATAATAAACCAGAAGGTGGCCTGGTTCACAAAGTTTTAGAACGAAGGGAATCAACACTCTTCTTCCATCCACTAAGCAATGGTGAGTTGTATAGCCATGACCTACCAAGAAGGTAACTGAATGGGTTTTAGCTTTTTTGAGAAACAACCTACTTACAAAGCAGGGTCCTACTTACAAAGTGTCTTCTACATATCCATATCCACATGCTGCTATGCTTAATCTTTTTTTTATTCTTATGTTAATCCCCTACATTACATCATTAGTTTTAGATGTAGTGTTCCATGATTCATTGTTTGTGCATAACACCCAGTGCTCCATGCAGAATGTGCCCTCCTCAATACCCACCACCAGGCTAACCCATCCTCCCACCCCCCTCCCCTCTAGAACCCTCAGTTTGTTTTGCAGAGTCCATCGTCTCTCATGGTTCGTCTCCCCCTCCGATTTCCCCCCTTCATTCTTCCCCTCCTACTATCTCCTTTTTTTTTCTTTATTTTTTTTTTATTCTTATGTTAATCCCCATACATTACATCATTAGTTTTAGATGAAGTGTTCCATGATTCATTGTTTGTGCATAACACCCAGTGTTCCATGCAGAACGTGCCCTCCTCAATACCCACCACCAGGCTGACCCATCCTCCCACCCCCCTCCCCTCTAGAACCCTGTTTGTTTTTCAGAGTCCATTGTCTCTCATGGTTCGTCTACCCCTCCGATTCCCCCCATTCATTCTTCCCCTCCCGCTACCTTCTTCTTCTTCTTCTTCTTTTTTCTTAACATATATTGCATTGTTTCAGAGGTACAGATCTGAGATTCAACAGTCTTGCACAATTCACAGCGCTTACCAGAGCACATACCCTCCCCGGTGTCTATCACCAGTCACCCCATCCTCCCACCCCCTCCCCTCTAGAACCCTCAGTTTGTTTTTCAGAGTCCATCGTCTCTCATGGTTCGTCTCCCCCTCTGATTTCCCCCCTTCATTCTTCCCCTCCTGCTATTTTTTTTTTCTTAACATATATTGCATTATTTGTTTCAGAGGTACAGATCTGAGATTCAACAGTCTTGCACAATTCACAGCACTCACCATAGCACATACCCTCCCCAATGTCTATCACCCAGCCACCCCATCCCTCCCACCCCCCACCACTCCAGCAACCCTCAGTTTGTTTCCTGAGATTAAGAATTCCTCATTATCCGTGAGGTCAGATGATACATGTCTTTCTCTGTTTGACTTATTTCGCTCAACATATAATACCCTCCAGTTCCATCCACCTCGTTGCAAATGGCAAGATCTCATTCCTTTTGATGTGCTATGCTTAATCTATCCGTCTGCCTACCTACCTATCTATTAGTTTCCATCTCAAATAATAACCACATCCTTGACATTGAAGCCAGAGCAATGATGACCTCTCTGTAGTGACCACAAAACATACATGAAATCAATCCCCATATTTAAAACCTTTAATCCTTGTGTTTAATATGTGTATATCACGCATGCACACACACACACACACACACACGCTCCAGCCCGTTCTCACACCATATCAACTGGTTCCAAAACATTTTCCCTCCAAACATTAGCCTTGACTCAAGATTAAATCTTGATACTACTGTCTCTATTTTCATGAAGAACATAAAGCCTCAGAAGGCAGCTACCAGGAAGCAGAATTAGAAATACTTTAAAAGCTTCAAATCTAATTGGGGGAGGTAGAGAAGAAACAGAATGAAAAAAGTAATAACGCAGAAGTAAAAATGTGTCGGTTTCTAGAGCTACAGGGCTCCACACTGGGCATTTTTCCAGGCCCATCTCTGGATTTCTTCCTTGCAGTCACAAGTTTAAAAATTTCCCTTGTATTTTAAGATCCAAGGTCATTGGACACACTTTTTTCAAAGCCTTTCAAAGCCTCCAATCTAAGATGTCCTTCATTTATCCCCAAATCAGAAGTAATTTCTTAATTCTTTCAACTCCCACAGCAGCTTATCTGTTTCTCTCCTGGGATACTTGTATCATAATTATTTATGTACATGATTTATTTCCAAGGCCAGATTAGATTAGAAACCTCTGGGGGACAGGATCTATGTATCTGTGAATTTCAATATAACTAGCACAAGGGGCTGGGGAGGCGGGGGGGGGGGGGGGCGGCGGTGTGGGTGGAATGAGGAGATGTTGGTCAAAAGTCAAAAACTTCCAGTAATCAGATGAGTAAATTCTGGGATCCAATGTACAGCATGATGCTTATTGTTTAATAATACTGTATTACATTGTATACATATACTGAAAGTTGCTGAGAGTAGAACTAAAATGTTCTCACCAGAAAAAGGAATGGTAATTACATGAAGTGATGGAAGTATTAACTAATGCTCTGGGGGTAATCATTTTGCAAGATGTAAGTGTACAAATCAACGTGTTGTATACCTTAAACTTACACAATAGTGCATGTCAATTATATCTCAATACAACTCTGGTAGGGAACACAGAAAAAAATAAAACACTATAGAAATACACTGCTGAGATCTTGGGGCAGCTTTTCAGATTCTGAACCCATATTTCTAGTCCAGCCCTATGGTATTCCTTCTCCACCCCTAAAATCAACCTGTTACCAGAAATGATCGAATTGACTCTTTCACTAATCACTAGAGTAGCAGCTAATATATTGTCTCCCTCCAAAGATAAACTTATCAAAGAAATTATTTCAAATATCAAATATTCTCTTGAACCAATTGGCTTACAGGACCCACAAGAGCCCTAGTGTTACCTATTGTTAGGGGAAAAGGAATGCAGAAAAGCAAATATACTTAGGTAGAGACCATGCCTGGAATGCCCTCCAATCACCTGCTCCACCTGAGCAAGGCTGAGACCACTCCCGCCCACTGCACCCTCAGTCCCTCTGAATCTGCAAAGCAAAGATTCCTGCAAAGGAGGCTGGGCCTCAGAACTGGGCTAAACAGGATTTCTCAGCCACGGCATCTCAGAAAATGTGAAATTGGATCTTGATCATTGGGAACCTGCCATCATCATTAAACAGAAAAAAGCAGACAGACATCTGTTCTGTCCGGGAACACAAGGAGCATACTAATCACAAGCTACTGCTTGGTACGGAACACTTCGGCCTCAGCCAGGCTGCAGTCACCCCAGGAGCAAGGGAGGCCACCCCCCACGAGTCCTGCCTCTCATCTGTGAGTGAACAAATTATATGGAGCCCCTTCTCCATCACTGTCCTCTCCTCCACTTGGAGATCCTGGATTCCGGGGACAAATCTGAGAACTGAGACTGCAGGCTGAATCTCGGGCTTTTCATTCCCTAACCCTGACATAATACTCTCTTCTCTCCTCCTTTTATCCCAATCTCATTCACCTGGCAAGGCTTATCCCCAGATCCACATCCTTCATTCACTGATTTATTCATTTACCAAAAACAAGTACTTACTTTATACCAAGTGATGTACTAGTCACTGTGCAGAATTCACAGCGAATTGTGGGTAGATCCTTCCTTCACGATGTTTACAAGCCTGGAAAGCAAACAAATACATAAATAATGCCAATAGAAGGCCAAAAAAAAAAAGTGGTGGTACCATAAGACAGATAAGACAAGATGCTGTATGGGTTCAAAATAAAGAACAATGACCTCTATTCAAGTATATCAAAGAAGGCTTCATTGAAAAGATTTGGACTTGACGAATGAGCAGCACTTGGGGTCACAGATATGGAGGAAGAAGCACAAAGAACCACCAAAGGAAATAAAGGGAAGGAAGAATGTGCAAGCTATGTTTACAGAACACCAAATACATTCAGTGGGATGAGAAATGAACTTAGGATGGAATCAGGAAATATCTACATAGGCAGGTTAAGGTCTAATCATAGCATCCCTTCTGGAAAACAACTCGAGCATCGACGACCTCTCCTGACCCCTCTTCTCTGTGACTTTCCATAACACTTCTGTCTGCATCTCACCCTCTGTGCTCTGATTGGCAGCCCTTCCATAAATGTGTGTTGAATAATGAATTAATAAGACATTCACTGGTAAATGTTTTTATGTAACATAACCCAGGGAAATTGTGAGTATATTCTAAGTGATCAAAATGATCATCTTTGTTCCCTAAGGTTTGCAAAACTAATAAATAAAACCTATGGACTTGAGAAAGGCAAGATAATAGTGATAATTCACATTTAAGGGCATCTTGACATGTGTAAACCATTTGCTTTATCTCAAGTTACTTCAGACAGAAGGAACGAAAGGCAGATGTGCTACAGGACCTTGGAAGGCCTGTGTTACCCCCTGGCTCCTGGATAGGCATATCCCCCCCAGCCCCCCAGCCCCCCAGCCCCCGTGACACCTCATCAGAAACATCCACCGAGAGGCCAGAGATAGCATGCATTGAAAATAGACCTGGTGAAAGAGGAAATGAAGCAAATGGAGAATGCTTGGGGAACTGAGAAGACTTGAGACTCCCAGCTGAAAATATTTATAAGCTCCCAAAACATTCAGCTAAATCATCAGCACCATCATTATCAGCATCATCAATGCTATAATTTACTGAGTACTTACTATGTACCAGACATTGTGATAAATGCTTTATAAATAGAATTTCATTTACTTCTCCTACCATATGAAGGAGATAGTCCTATAACCATTTTATAGATGAGGAGAATGAGGTAATCGGAGGTCAGCCGTGCCCTTCCAAAGCCTAACCTCTGGTAGAAGTGTGACTGAGAGCTCCTGGATTTTTTGCATGTGTGCTGATTCTTCCTGTCTTTCAAGGATGAAAACACAACAACCATGTCACAAGGATCAACAAATGTTCATCAGGTCCACTCACTGAACATGAGAAAAGCAAGCTAACAAGCAACGTGTCAAAACTCCTTAAAGATGTACATTTTGAAGACCGGGAAGGACCTACAGGTTTCAACGGTGTCGAAAAGTAGTGTTGAAACTTGGGGCAAGGGCTGAGAACCAGAAGAACCGAGAACACACAGCCATCCCTGTGGTTTCCTTCCCCTCGAAGCATTTGTTCACCATTTGCTTTGGTCTGTCCCCTGTTTAGTAAAACTGGAGTTGCTTCTTTGTGTTTTTCAGGCAAAGTATCCCTTTTACCCTAAGTCCCGTGCAGGAGATAAATCTATAGATTCCAGTCCTCCTCTCCCATGCAAGAGATGTGTGACCTGTGACAAGTCATTGTGAGCCTGTGTCTTTGTGGGTGCAAGCCACTTCTCCCTATACCTCGGCCTCCTTGTACACTGTAAAATTGGGATAATAAAGAATACCCCCCCCACACACACAGAGCTGCTGGGAGGATTTAATATGCTTATAATTAATAGATATATTAATGTGCCTAAAGCAGTGCCTGCCAGGCACAGAGTAAGCACTAGGTAAACTGAGGTGTTGTTATACTATGTGTAGAATGGCTGGGCGAATATTAACTATTTCAGCAACCATTTCCATTAAATGCCACTTACCAGGGGTCTGCAGAGTCTCCCGAAGCAGGGGTCACTGTATTTACACGCTAACCTGCCCACACCTACACACATTTTCTGAGACGTTTCACAGGTGATTTCTAGCGCGTTCTTGCTTTCCCGCATCTGTGTGGGGGGGGTGTTGTTTCTTTTTTTTTCTTGAATATCATCACTGAATTCACACTCTACATCGTTCTTCCATCGCGCCCACGGGGAGTCCCTGACGTTGGGGTCGGGGGCAAGGTGAGGACTCAAAGTGCCCAGTGCTGCCAACGCCAGAAGGTTCTTTCAGCAGGGCCGCGCTCCGCCAGCCCAGCGGAGCTCCTGGCCTCGCGTGCCTCATCAAGGACAAAACTCAGGGTCCAGAGACACCTCTGCATACCCCAAATGTATCCCAAAGGGGGGGGTGTGTGCAAGAAGCACACCTCAGGTCGCCTGCCTTCTCCACTTAAAAAATACCGTGTGGTGCACCTGCTGGGCCAGACACCGGGGGGGGGGGGGGGGGGGGGGGCAGGACCAGACACCAGGACTGCAGAGGAACAGAGCTGGCGCCCCCCCAAGGACGGAGCTGGCGCCCCCCCAAGGACGGAGCTGGCGCCCCCCCAAGGACGGAGCTGGCGCCCCCCAAGGACGGAGCTGGCGCCCCCCCGACGCCAAAGCGGACTGCAGCCGCTTCCTCCCTCCCCGCCCCCCCCCCAGCGCGGCCAGGCCCCGAACGCGGTTGGCGCACGCGCCCGGCGGGGCCCCGCCCACCGCCGCCCGAGCGCGCCCCGCGGACGCACGTGGCGCTTCCGGCGGCCGCCCAGCTGTCAATCACGCGCGGGCTGAGCTCCGCAGGGCGGCGGGAGCGGCGGCGGCGATGGGACCCCGGCGAGAGATCTGCGGCTAGCCGGCTGCACTTGCTCCACGGGTCGGGGGATCGGAGGGGGCAGGTAAAGCCATGCGGAGCCCAGGCGAGGTTTTCTGAGCTCCATTTGTCTTTCCGCACTTCTCCCGCTCCTCCCTTCCTCTTTCCTCTCTCCTCGCGCACACATATTCATGTTCTGTTTTTCTGTGTCTGTCACACACACACACACACACACACACCCCTGACTCATTCACGTTTATTATAGGGGCTCAAATCTCTGCAAAGATCATGCATATCAAAAACCGTGAACACATCCGAATTAGGGGTAGCCAACTCCATGCTTTGGTGGTTTGTGGTTTGTGTTACGTAAGAATTGGGGAGGTATACAGGGCAAACTTAAGAGTTTCTTTCCCGGGATCCAAGAAAAGTTAAGTATGAGGCAAGAGTCAAATATACGTATTTGCAGTCTGCAAAGCTGGTTTGATTTGTTTTCCAAGCTGAATTTAACCCCCCCCCTTTGCCCTGCCCATTCCTTTGCCATATTCAAAGATATGTGAGTGCTTTGATATAATCTCAGGACCTACTTCTTTGTGTTGTGAGAAAGAGGCGTTGGGAGGGGGTCAGAGCAAAGCTGAGGACCTCCAAGAAAACAGAGCTGGAGTTAAACTGCTGATGTTTACTTAATTGGTTCCTGGCTCTGTAGCAGAAATGTTTTCAGCACGTTGGAGAGATCCCCGGGCTCCAGACCAGGCCCGCCTTTGGTGAAGGGCATGTGTGGAATCATTTCCTTCAGAGAAAAGGGGCAAGGAGACAAACAAACAGAAGGGACATTTAACTGAGAGAGAGGCACAGATGGGGGTTGGGGGGAGACTTGTTTTTCTTTCGCTTATCCAGATCCAGGATCCTAATATAATTGGCTCCCCCTCCCCCCAAATCTGCTCACATACCACCAGCAAAATAAAATTTTAGGGCAAGGAAATGAGTCTTGAAGAAGGTTTGACTATGGCTCATATAGACTGAAACTGGAAAATACCGAAAACAGTCTGTCAGGCCTCAAGTGGGCTTGCTCACCTCAAGTCTTTGAGGTTTTCTTCCAAATGGATGGGGAACTGATCGTCAGCAAGAATTTTTAGTGACCTCTTGAAAAATATCGCCCAGCTATTCTTTTATTTCACATGAGTAGAGTAATGTAGGAAGCCAGGAACTCTATAACTGGCAGTGGGGTTTTAATTAAATCTTGCATGGGCACCTGCTTTTCTTAGGCAGATGGAAAGTAAAATGATCACGATAGGAAGAAATGGATACAGGAGTAAAAAATCAACCCAATGAGTAAATCATCTAAAGAACCTTAATAAGTCTAAAATGCATGTAAACAGATCAGAAAATACAATGGCTATAAGATTAATTTATTTTACAATATAATGGAACAGGCACCAAATAGATCAGTTCTGGAGTATCTAGGGAGCAAATAAACTTTTTATTTAGAATTTTTAAAATACAAATGTATTAGTCTAATTGTATTACTGACTTGCAGAATATGATTATATCAAAATAAGAATAGCATTCGCATAGTGTGTTGTAGTTTACAAAGCCCATTCATTTATGTTGTCTCATTTACCCTATAAAGTCTCCTGAGAGACCATTAAAAAGTTATGAAATATGTGTACTTTTGTTAAAAGCAAATATCTTCCTGCTCTTCAGCAAGAAGTCCTTTGTCAACGTTTTTGTCAACATTAAAATTACTTTTCACCGGTCATAAGAATGGCTTATGAAATTTTGATTTTTATCTGTATCACATTCTGCAGAGATTTTTTCTTTTCTTAAATAGGTTTGAAGGATGATGTGCCGTTAAAAAGAAAGGCCAAAGACTAAACAAAGAGAAGAGGAAGAAGAAGACTTCAAAGGTAAGACTCCATCCTTGTCACAAGCAAATTCATAAGCACCCTGTGGTTTGTACGTAGTTAAAGAAGAGGTTTAAAGAGAATATGAGTTCTTTTTCTCTTCTTATTTTGATTTTGGACTTTGTATACCTTACTTAAAAACGCATCTTAAGGGGCGCCTGGGTGGCTCAGTCAGTTAAGCGTCTGCCTTCGGCTCAGGTCATGATCTCAGGGTCCCGGGATCGAGTCCCACATCGGGCTCCCTGCTCAGCAGAGAGTCTGCTTCTCCCTCTGCCTCTGCCCCTCCTCTCCTTATACTCTCTCTTTCTCAAATAAATAAATAAAATCTTTAAAAAAAAAAAAAAGAAACCACACATCTTGAAGAAGTAATTAGGTAATTACATATCATTACCCCTTTTTTAAAAATTATAAAAGTGGGGGCACCTGGGTGGCACAGTTAGTTAAGCGGCCAACTCTTGGTTTTAGCTCGGGTCATGATCTCAGGGTTGTGAGATCAAGCTCTGCGTTTGGCTGCATACTCGGCATGGAGTCCGCTTGGGATTCTCTCTCCTTCTCCCTCTGCCCCTCCCACTCGTGTCTGCACTCCCTCTCTCTATCAATCTCTCTCTCTCTCTAAAACAAATAAGTCTTTAAAAAAATTACAAAAGTGGCTGCATACCTTCTGACTTAGAAGGTATTAAAAAGCTCATAATATAGAGCCATGATGTCTACCACTGTTCCAAGAACATAAAATACCTCCGCAAAGATCTTTTGGCAGAAACCCATTTTCAAGTTTTAAGGTCATGCTTATACAATTCTAGAATGCCTGAGTTAAAAATGAAAGAGCCGTTAGCAGGCTTTCATGCCTTCCTGCATCCACGCTGAGACTGAGTCCTTTAAGCAAATTGACCTTTTGGTTTGGTGTTGGATAAATGGTCGAAAGCAGCTCTGGGCCTATTCCTGAGCAGTGGCTCTCATTATCTCAGAAGGCTTTTATGGGAGAGAAAAGCAGTATGAAAAAATCGAATGATATTTCCACGAGAATAAATAGAACAGGGCCTGGTCTCACAACTGACTCACACATGAAGCCATGGGAAAACACTAATCTTTTTTGTGCCTCAATTTTCTGCCTCTCCTCTCTCAAGGAGACCATGAAGACAAATAATATAGAGTCTGTGATGTTCTTGGAGTTTCGTGAGGCATAAAGACTTATTTCTGTTTTCATGGCTATAAACGGTTTTTAAGTAAAATAAAAAATAATTGCATTTATTTGACTGAGGTTCAGATGTCCAACAAATTGATACCGTAGCAATATTGGTACATGCAGAGATCATAATATTACCTGTATGGGTTTACTTGCCGAAAGAGGAATTGTTCATGGAGAAAGGGAAGGAAAAATAAAATAAGATGGAATCAGAGAGGGAGACAAACCATAAGAGACTCTTAACTATAGGAAAACAAAGCTGGGGGCGGGGGATAGGGTAAATGGGTGATGGGCATTAGAGAGGACACGTAAGGGAATGAGAACGGGTGTTATATGCAACTGATGAACCACTTAATCCTACCCCTGAAACTAATAATACACTATATGTTAACTCAATTGAATTTAAAGAAAAAATTTTTTTTAAAAAGAGGAATTATTTGAAGGATTCTCAACATTTTCACTCCCTCATCTACAAATACCTGGGTTTTTTGTTTTTTGTTTTTTTTTTTAAGATTTACTTATTTTTATTTGAGAGAGCGTGTACACGAGTGGGGAAAGGAGCAGAGAGAGACTCTCAAGCAGACTCCCCACTGAGCATGGAGCCTGAAATGGGGACTGATCTCATGACCCTGAGATCATGACCCAAGCCAAAATCAAGAGTTGGACACTCAACCAACTGAGCCATCCTGGCGCCCCAGCAAATATCTGTTCTTGGTGCCCATTTTGTTGCCCTTCTTGCTTCAGCAGTGTTTCTCTTTCTAATCTAAGTGCCCACTGAGAGCAGACTGTGCCCTGCTCATCTTTATTATCTCACATAATCCGGCACATAATTAGTGCTGTAAAAACAAGGAAAGAGGGGAAGAATGAAAAAGGAAGGATGACTCAGACCATCATCCACACCAACCCATGTACAGCTTTTTGCCAAGAAATTTCGAAGTGCTTGTCACCAGGACAGAAAGAGCCCCTGCCCTCAGGAAACTTACAATCCATCACGTACATAGTCTGTCAGACCATGAACAAATAAACCACATAAGGAAGCACCAGATGGTAAAAAGCACTATCAAAAGAAACAAATTTGGACAAGAGAATAGAGAGGGATAGAGGGCTGGCACTGAACATGCTAATTGTAGGGAGTCTCTCGGGAGGGCTTGGGAGGGGAGTTAAGGCATGATTTTCTCCTCCTGTGAGTCCCTGGGACATGCCAGGTATGCTGGGCTGCCAAGAGTTGAATATCCATTTAAATGTATAACCATGCATGCAATTGAGATAGATACCATAGACAGAGTATAAAAAGAAGAAAACCATGCACAGATCCCCACTAATTAGCACCTAGAATGTCCTTCGGGGAGAGTGAAAATAACTCCCTCTTCATAGATGACCAAACAGCCAGATGCTAATGTTGCTCGCACTCCATCATGACGGCCATGTGGGCAGCGAGGACACAAAATCAAACAGGAGCTGGAATACTCACATGGACTCATTTAAGTGCAATACTGGAAAATATTTTCA